GGGGGGGAGTGCTGATGGATCAGTGGGCTAAGGGTGTTTCATGTAAATGTAACACATTGGGTGTGAATCCAGATCAGGAAATGTAATTAGCGGGCTGTGCGATTGCAGGAAATTAAATTAATGTTCTCTTATATTAATATACCGTTCTCTAGATAAAGACCTTTAAAATATACCAAATGTGTCACAGAATAAAACTACTTGTTAATATATACTATTAACATAGGAGAATAGGCACTGTAGTGTGGAAGTGTTCTCAGTTGTTTCGTGTATTTTATTTGGCGTTTTAAAAGTTTTCAGTTATGTTTTCCAAGGAGCAAGCTTTTTGTGTGATCACCTATAAAGGTATAATAATAGAGACTGTACATAGAGTCCTCATTCAGAACAATTGCAGACACTCGAGTCAGGGACCTTGGTTTTCCTGCACTTCAGATCGAATCAGTAATGATCCTAAAAGAGCAACTTGCAGGTTAGAGACCCCAGTGAATAAATGTGTAGCAAAATGATGTATACACTAGATTTTCAAAAACATATACATAAATATACACTACAGTGACATCTGGCGTCGTTTTTTAAGACATTTTTACTTCCGCATAAAAAAAGACCACCCGCGTGTGACGTCACATCCTAACGTATTCATTAACATGGTTCACAATGCTAGTTTTGACACAGAAGAGGTTGAAAATGTATATTCGAATGCATATGACGGACCACAACCTTATAATGATGAACCTGCTAGGCGGCCAAGAGACCAGGAGCAGCCAAGGATTAGAAGAAATAACAGCCATCGGAGAGAAATGGAGCTGTGGTGTGAGGAGAACCAGTGGAGAACAGAGCAGCTGTCTTGGTGAGTGACCGGCGTTAGCTACAGAATGTTAGCTAACGTCAGTCACATCACAACATTGTAAAGTTAGCAATCATATATCAGGCTATAACTAAAGTAGTATTGATCATATAGTAACGTTACTTGCAGGACTGTTGATACTGATCCATAACAGAAACTAATGCGCAAGTATCAGCCGTATCTCGCGTTACCTAATGCAACTCCACACTACGGTGCTGTGTACCGGAGGGGAGAGAGAGGGGCAGCGAAGGGGGGGGGGAGAGAGAAGTAATACGGTTTCCTGATAAAGCTGTG